CCCCCTCCCCTCCGCCCCTGACTAAACCCTTTATTCACCAATGCCCATAGGAAATCACACCCTCAAACAGACAAGTACTTGCTCCAATTCACCAACATAAGTGCAAGAACCGGCCATGGAAGAATTTATCAAGAAAAGTGAAAGAAGGGTAAAAGAAACAAACTAGGGTTGCAAAATAGTGGTGTGGGGAAAAGTAAAGAGGAGAGAGAGGGAAATCCTAAGGAAGATAGAGAGGAAAAATGTAGAAAAAGGAGATCCTTCCCGAATGCAGTCCAAAAAACTCTAATCAGTTCTTTGCATGAACAATAGATGTGTTAGAACTAAACCACACATATTCGAAGAAACATGTACCATGGCACATCCCAGATTCACTGAGGCTAAAGATTGATAAAATTCAATAACTATGGCATTCACATTAGATTTAGAATGTTAATTATTTTAGTTGCTCGCTTATGTCATAGTTCTTGATCCTACAAGGAACATTTCAAAATTTCGTGTATTGCCCAAGTTGTTACTAGCTTCTTCACCTATATCTTACAGTACTGAAAAAGTAATCACTTACATAGTTGGCATCCCTATGGCATAAAGCGGATTCTTTGACAGCATATTCGACATACAAGTTATAGATGTTACTTCAAGGATTCCCTTAAATCACCAGTCCTTGGAGGAGTGACAAGGATGATCTATAGAACAGAGAGTGGTTTATAAGAAACAACCATAAATTTAATTTATAACGCCAGGCCAACTGCAATCAACATCACCGTTAGTAAAAGAATTATTTCAATCCAACATAAGTCATAGATGATATACTTGCACAGGCAATATGAGTATCAACTGCAATATCTACCAATATATATTACCATAATTTAAGAATAAAATGTCATGCGTCTCTCAAATATATTATCAGAAATCAAACACATTTTACGAAAATCAACCGAGTCTCTTCCTATATAGTATGTTGACTATTAGCTGTAATCACACGCATCTTCCTGTAATCAAGCAATCACGTCTCTTCCAATATAGTACGCTGCCCAAACCTTTATAAATTGGTCTACATGAAACTCTATATGTATTGAAATGAACACTGCCCAATAAAATAAAATAATCGTCAAAAGAAATATTATCACATATAATTGATAAAAGAATGAAGCTGTCCACAATCCACATGAAGGAATAAACAAAAGATATCATAAAAAAGATGATATTCGGAAGAAAAATAATGGCAACCATATCAAGAATCAAATTATGCACAACAACAACAACAATAATAATAAAACAGAGATTTAAAGTGAAAAAATTGCAACAAATGTCAAGAAATAAATAGAATTATAGAAGAAACTATTTGTCATGAAAAATGAAATTTCTGTTAAGTCTTAAAACATCTCGTCTAAAAAGTTTTAAGTTTTGTCAAGATCATGTCTAAACACTTAAACTTCAGCAAAATCTTGTACAAATCGAGTTCATTTATTTGATTAAAGCGACATCATGTACAATTTTTAAAAATGGACGACGGTCCATACTCTTGTCTGTCTCATTTTAATCATCTTGTCTAAAAACTTAAAAAGGGAAATCTTAAATATTTAGAAGATAAACAGTACCCAGTTATCTCCTCTCAAAGCTTGAATTGTTTAGACTAGTATCCCTTTAAAAATGATTAAATCATGACGTGAACATTTCAGACGGCAAAAGAAAACAATAGTTAGTAGGATCCATTTTAGCGATTTAAGGATTTGAGAGAGAAGAGGAGGCCAAACATGAGCTTATAGTCCTGCTAATAGATGAGGGTTCGATACTTCGATCCATTCTCTGTAAAGCAAGCAGACTCCATTTCTGTTGAATATGTACAGTATCTGAGCATTGTTTCCTGATGATGTTGGTGCTGGTGGAGACGGGCTGATAATTTCTGATCCACGAAAGAATTTCCTTTGTCTCGTTGTTTGAATAAAAGTTCCTAGATGAAATAAAAAATTTCCAACAATTATTCACGCACCCGATCAGTATAGTTGAATTTAAGGTTTTATGATCTGATGAGTGCATTAATCCATGTATCGAATCAACCTGAATTTGTCCCGAGTTGACCCATATAGAGGTATCACACGGATGGGCCGATCAGATCCGTGAAAACGGGAACCGCGGACTGACCCGTGCGGACGGTTCACGGGCCATGGAGGTGTAACCCGCTAGCTTCGCGGGTTGCACCCCCATGGGC